GACCCTCTAATCCGTCGATTAAGATATCTTTGATAAATATCTGGATGTAAATGGATTCATAACACAGTATATAATGCGAATCAAATTTTTCTATACGAACTAATGCAGCGATTCCCAGGCTTACAGGGTTTTCATGTGAGAAGACAACCTTCGGTGTCTGTTGGATAACACCTAGTTGATCTAATTCCAATCAGCCCGATCTATGAAGTATCTGACTATAAGTCTGAGGCATTTAAAGAAGTGCAAACTGCCTTGTTCTGCCCCTTCAAATACTAATAGCAAATGGTTGAAGACATCAAGCTAAAGAGCCCTAAACTGACGGTGTATTCTCTGTATCATTTTAGATAATTTAGCGCATTAATAAAAATCACTTACTTAGTTATATAATATCTTCACATATTTCTTTTCTTTCATTTCACACCAATTCTTTTGATCTCCTTCTTATGTTGTACTGCTGTGAAATGGGTCAACTTTGAGCGATTTTCTTATATCTTCTTTAATCTATCTATTTGTGTCTTTGTCGTGGTAATTTGTCAAAGCTGACGGGGTTGAACAAAGTCTTTATTTGAAATGTATATTTTTAACAGTGTACTTAGTAGTCAGTACTGGGTCACGGGTTCGAACCCAGCCCCACCTACCGTGGTTTGGACGACCAGGTAGGTGTAGTTTATTCCCTACCACACGGATGTACACACTGTAGCTGGTTGCGTTTCGTTCGTCTTATTCATTAGTGGATGTGAATTTTTTTTTGTCGAATTGACATCCCCTCAGTAACATTGTGTACATTTTAACGGTTGGCAATAAGCCATACGTGTTATGTGTGAGAGGTGTTGATAACTACCCGGCTGCTCAAACTTCGGTAGGTGGAGTGGTGTTCGAACCCATCGTGCATTGGTTAAAAGTCAACTCCATAAGCCAGTGAGCCACAGCAGAACATCAGGGGATTCGGTTGACATATTCATATTTTCCTGGCACTTCTGGAAGTTTTCATCTGCTGAAAATATACATACGTGTGCACGTGTGTGTGCATGCACATTGGCTATGTACTTCCATATTAGATTTATTTATTTGATATAGCGCACAGTGATACAGTATTATCTTTGTGATGACGTTTCAAGCATAAATTATTGCTGATAATCATATCACTGCAATCACAATGCTTTCGAAATCTGGTTTGTAGAGTCCTGTCACCTCATATTCTTTACTTTTCCTATTATATGTAGTAGGAATGATGCGACATCCATACCATATATTTGGAAAATTTTACTACCATTTAAAGCAAATAACACGAGGTGATAAGGCTATAAGAGACAGACATTGAAAGTTGTGTGATTACTTCGATATAATTGTGAGCATAGGCCGTGTTTCATGGTGTCACTAAGTGAGTAGTGCGGAAATCAGATATAGAGTGTTAGACAGGAGTTGTTGGACAATTGGTGCTGTTGTGAACCTTCATCGACTGAGATGGTTGGTACATGTACTACATACGCCTAGCCACCGTCCACCTCATCTCACAGTGTTGATCAAAGTAGGTTCAGTTTAGAAAATGACTCGGGGTGGCCAGACTAGAATATGGCATGACTGCATGAAGTCCTTAACTGTTCGTTTGAGCTGTGTATGGTGATGCAGTCTAGCGTGTTATGGTTTGTGGGACAAGAGAAACTAGTTGTTGTAGACTGAGTTTAAGTGATGGTGGGTGAGAATCGATGTCAGTGGCGCAGATGGATAGTTGGGAACGGATGGCTGTAGAAAAATCTAGTCCGGCTCCAAAAATATGGTTTCGCTATGTAGACGACACGTTTACAGTGTTGAAATCGGAACACATACTTAATTTCTTCATACATATAAATTCAGTAGTCAACGCAATCCAATTCACCTATGAATTAGAAAATAGCAAAGGAGAATTAGCGATATTGGATTGCCGAATAAAATGGAAACGAGATAGGAGTTTAGACACAGTGTCTGCAGAAAATCTTCACATTCAAATCGTTACTTAGACTTCAAATCGTCTCACCCTATGTCAGTTAAAGTTGGTTTAGTAAAGTGTCTAAGTAACAGGGCCAAAAAACTTACTAGTAAAACAGAAGATCTAAAACAAGAAACCAGATACATTAAAGATGCCTTAATCATCAACAATTACCCTCCCTAGTTAATTGATAAGCTCCTTAGGAATTGTCAGAAAAATATCGGTAACACAGTTATTAGTAGTAGTAATAATAACAACAATAATAATAGTTATAATGATGTTAATAATAGTAGCGGCAATACTGTGAATAGAGAATTCGAAACCTTCACAGTATTACTACACAAAGAAGGCACCTCAAAAACACTATGTAGAATTCTCATTAAGAATGGCTGGGATTAGAGTGGCATTTAAATCTACAAACTCACTTCGAACTAAGCTTTGTAGGTTAAAAGATCCTATCGATCCAATTAAGCAGGATAACTCAGTTTACCTAATCCCTTGCAACGATTGCGAGGTCAAATACCCAGGTCAAAGTAATCGACGCGGATCAATTAGGCTATGGGAACACAAAATCTTAGCTAGGTCAAAATTGGTAGATCCTAGTAACGTAAGGAATTTAGAAAAAAGCTCAGCCATAGCTGTGCATGCAATTACACACAACCACACAATAGAATGGGACAGGGTGAAAATTCTTAAAACTAACAACATAACAGGGTGGAGGGAGAAATTGATAACTGAATCTTTGTTTATCGAACCTAACACATCTAACACATGCAACAACAGGAATGACTGGGCACCTGTTCGGGATATATGAAAAATCTTACTGCCCATCTCACAAAGAGACGAGAAAATTAGGACTATATAAAGGATATCTCAAAGTTGTGTAGTTATCTTGAAATGACGACTATGGACAACAAATTATGTCCGAAACGTAATCCAGTAAACAATACTGTTACAGTGTGTGATAAATTTAATCAATCAATAAAAATGGAATTACATTCTACCACAGTGCACAAGTTTTACTCTTATATTGATAGATATACACACATTATCGTCATTTTCACCGCTATAATTAGTCTCACCATCTCATTCTTCCTTCTATTTTACTACTTTTACATGCTTTGGCCGATTTTACTTTCCTTCTTCACCTTCCATTTTATTGCCTTGTTACTTGATGTGGTGATATGAGGTATGGTAGCTTGGAACGTTGGGCTAGAATGCCTTGTCCTATGTTGATCTTGATAATGGATGATGAATCGTGAGTACTAATTTATGCTCGAAACATTATCCAGTAAATAAAAGTGTATCACTGTCTGCCCTATCAAGTAAACAAATTTAATATAGAATGACATCTTACCACAGTGCCCAAGTGTCATGCATATATTTGTTATAAGTACTTTCCATTGAAGGAAGTATATTCAGCCTACATTGATTGGTCACGGGAGAGCAACCAATTTTATGATATCTAATTCTGAGTACAGACTGAATTATATCGATCATATTTGCAGTGTGACCACCAAGCTTAGAGACTCATCATCACGGTGCACATTTGTAGATGTTAGAGTTGGCTGGAGGAAAGGGACAGGAAACCATGAACCTGGGTTTCATGCTTGTTGGCACTCGTCAACAAGGCCTGAGATTCGAACCCAAGTCACCCAATGTTGTGGTCAGTGACAGTACCACTGAGCTGTTAAGGCCGCGATTAATCTCCTGTCGCCGACTTCAACACTGGTTGACGTCGGTTAGGATTTCAGGTGGGACATCTATTCCGTCGTGGTTGTAAATACACCTGCTGTTTCATAAGCACATCTGTCTGTTAAACAGAGCGTAATCACTTCAACCTCTTGTTATAGGGATAAAATAAAATGGAGTGCTGCAAGGTTTACTGATTGCTTAGTTACATGATACTAGATAACTTGGCGCAGCGATGGATAATCGAGAAGCTGGAACTATCAATGCCAACATCTCAAATTGAAGTTACATCAGAAAAGCAGAATGCCTGACTAGTAGAATTTATTTCTCACTGAAATGCAACAACTATTGTGAAGATTTAGTTTGTTGTGGCTAGCAGAGGAATCCAAGACGCGCGTCTCCTCCTATTTGGGACTCATCAGCTAGATGTACCTGCACTCCCAGTGATGTTGTTCCCACCGAGACTCGAACCCCGTACTCATCGCTCCGAACGCCAAGCCGTTATCCACTATGCCACATAGGAACAGTAGTTACTTCGTATACAACCAACCAAATTATCATAATTAGCATTCAGGCCATATCGAGACATCCGCATAGGAGCCCATACGCCAATAGAAGTCGAACAATTTGATCCAACAAAACAACGGAGAATACCAAGTATTGCAATAAATAGTAATAACTATTGTAAAGGATTATTTTACTTTCTAACCGATCAGATTACCTCACTTGATCAATATGATATTGGAAAATGTTTTAACCAAGAAGTAACCTGTAACAAAGAATTCATCGTGGCTATACACCTAAGGGCTTCAAATGGATAGGGCATCATATTCTAATTAGTTTCTCCTTTTAATGAAATCATGAAATATAAATTGAGTAACTAGAAAAACAAACATAACAACTACCAATTACGTAGACATGTTACATCAGTCTCAAATTCAAGCTTTCTTTATTCTGTTTGCTTCTCCTCTAATACAACACACATGTGTCAGTGAACATCACTAATCTGCCACACACTATCTTGTTCACAAACCTCTAGTTTAATGGTGTATCATGTATTATAATCGCGTAAATTATCAATAATTAACCTTAAGGAGTATACTGTATTTTGTCTTTTAAAGAAACCTGAAAGTCATTTTTATACTGTCTACTGATTGATTCTAGGCTATACCAGTTGGTTGATCATCATTGTATGCGTGCTTTATTAATTCTAACATTCTAAAGTAATATTCTTCATATTTTTAACAAAAAATATTTACTCTCATGGTTTATTATTATTTTTTTCCGTACTTTTTCTATGTAACAACAAATTCTCGCAATATGGTTATTGTCAAAATAATAGTCTCCTGCAAACGGTAGGTATTTTCCTTTTATATTTCATCAAATGTGTTTATCATTATTCATTATTGTCTTATATTCGTCAAATGTTTTAAACGAAAAATGAATACAAGGGAAAAGGGTAGATGTAAAGGGTTATGTGTTGTTTGAAAGCTTGGAGTTGTGAAAATGTTTAGTATTCTCTATTCCTCAGTTTATTTATAATGGTTATGCAGTATAAGTCTCGAAGTAGCTATGCCTTTTTATCTATGAGACATGACTGTATCATACAGCTGTTCAAATTAGAGTAATCAGAGAAGGCGAGAGGGGGGGGAACAACCAAGCACTACACTACCAGTGATTATCAGTCTATGTAAATGTTTAAGTCAAAATCGGTGATCTGTTATCGTCTAGTTTCTGTTAGTGTGCTTCATCAACATTGTAAGGGGACATGTAAACCACTTTTATTGACAATTATTGATGATGATACTACGTGGTGAGGTGAGTTTCACTGGTGGGCCTGTATTAAATTTTTTCTTTTTTTTTTGAACTTGTTTTAATCATTCAAATGTCAACAAATCGTGGTACATACTGTTGTACATTTTTTAAAAACAGTCTTCAACTAATCCTTTCTCAAGTTGACAACAAAATTACTAGAAAACATTACACCAGAGGTCAATGAACCATTGAGCGCATAACAGTACATCATATAACTGTTATTCGAGTATTTCATATGAATCTTGGTCAATATTTGACTGGTTAATTTCACAAATATTGAGCACCGAGTGAAAGGTTGACATGAAATATAAGTTATATCTGGACATATCTATGCGTGTTTGATATAAGACATTCCAACGTTTCGCACGTAATCCTGACTCGTGCTTCTTCAGTGAAATGATCAAAATCTATATTATCATAGATACCACACATCAAGAATAGTATAGTTCATCTCATTGTATAATCGTGACTAGATTATGATTGCTTTTCAATTGGGTTATTAGTCGTTCACACCATACATACCATGCATTGATGTAAGCTAATGTGTATGTGTCCTAGTTTAGGGATCGGTTATTACACAATAATAGGGGGTCACATGTGTCAAAATTGTCAGTGCATGAAGAATATGTACTTGTTGTGAGTATGTCACACGTAATATATGTCATTATTGTCTTCACGTATCAACACAATGACCTGGTTTTGATATAACCAGGCTTCTGTTTCCTCTTTGTTTCTTGAATGCTCCAGAATAAACAATAATAATAAAACACCTGGAGTTGCAATTTGAGAATGTTTGGAATGAGTTTTCCGCCACCCAAGTGCAAATTGTTGCTCCACCACTAGTCTTCAATGGTACCCCGACTAACAATAGGGAGTGAAGCGATTGAGCGCGTTAAACACTTCACTTACCTAGAAAGTCGGATCCGCCCTGGTCGCTGTTTAAATGGCCAACGAAATCTTTGCATGGATAGAAAAAAAGGTTCAGTTGGCTTTTGGCAACTTATGCCATCTGTGTTGCCACCGCGATATCCGATTGTCTATTATGGGTCAAGTGTACTGTGCTTCAATTTGGTCTGTTCTATTCTATAGCTGTGAAACACGGTCATCAAAAGTATGAAACTTGAGAAACTTCAGGTGTTTGACCTGCCTTCGTATCATAGAGTGTTTCGTGGTGTCACTACGTTGAGGTTTAAGGAGGGAGGAGAGGTAAGACAGTTGATGCTGTTGTGAACCTTCATCGACTGAGGTGGTTGGTACATGTGCTACATACGCCTAGCCACCGTCCACCTCATCTCACAGTGTTGATCAAAGTAGGTTCAGTTTAGAAAATGACTCGGGGTGGCCAGACTAGAATATGGCATGACTGCATGAAGTCCTTAACTGTTCGTTTGAGCTGTGTATGGTGATGCAGTCTAGCGTGTTATGGTTTGTGGGACAAGAGAAACTATTGGTTGGAGACTGAGTTTAAGTGATGGTGGATGAGAATCAACGTCAATGGAGCAGATATATCCCCATATACATTATTGCCATTTTCACCGCCATAATTAGTCTCACCATCTTCTCATTCTTCCTTCTATTTTACTACTTCTACATGCTTTGTCCGATTTTGCTTTCCTTCTCCACCTTCCATTTATTGTCTTTTTATTTGATTTGCTTATATGAGATGAGATGTGGCAACTTGGACCGTTACACGGGAACACCTAGTCCTATATTTATATTGAATGTAATGATGATGAATCCAAATGGGAATTTAATAAACCGGAACATTACTATTCATGCTTGTTTGACTCTCTTTACATCTATTTACGAACTGTTATTTGCCACAGAGCAACCATCTACACTGTGTCTGGTGTATTCAAGCTTTTAAGATAAGTCCATATATGTAGGGTTTCGAGTCATACTTTTTATATTATGCAAAACATTTTTGAAGAACTTTGGTCCCATCAAAATGAATCTTGTGTTCTGTTCCTGTCGGATGTAGTGCTATCTCTGATCTATTATTAAATCTCTGAATGTCTACTCAGGTCTTTGGAGTATGTTTTAGACATTGTCTATGCTTCTTGAACCTCATATTCACCTGCATCTATGTTTCCCTTACATATATTGCAGCACAATCCAGGCCATTTAATTCATCGACACAATTCTTTGACTTTTTTGTCAGTATTACAACCTTAACATTCATCAAATCAGAACGTAGATTATTTATTATTCATAAATGCACCTTTATGTCATGCTGGTTGACGTTAGAAATTCTTATATCAAACACGCCGAGAGGGTACACTGGTTGTACTATTCTCTTCTTTGAAAAACACGCTGGCGAACATCACTCAGTGTAGTTGCTGAAGAGTGGGCAGAAAAGCTATCTCAAGCTCTATGTTTGAACATCTTGTATACTGAAAATATCTGCCGCCTCTGGAAACCTTGTTCAAAGTTCTGTGCTAATTTCAACGAAACCCTCTCAATATATATATATATATATATATATATATATATATAAGATAGTGAATTAGGTTGATAACTTGACTTTTGATGAGATCCAGTCTCCTGGTGTCTAGGTTACTGGCCCAGTAGTATTCGTTTTTGGATTCAAAATGTGACTAATTGAGTCAGTTCAAGCTGATGAAGAATCCTATTCTCATTTCATTTTTGTTTAAATCATCAGTATCTTTTGAAGTCATATTTCATTCCCTCTAAACTGAACGAAAGCCTTAACGTTACCGTACTTTAGTGTTGTAGTAAATGACACTTTGGCTTTTGAAGATAATCAGGTTGGTATTCATAGACTGAAGTCTGTTGAAGAAAGATTGGGAACCTGGGAGCACTGGACAACTGTTTCGTCCTGGTATGAGACTCCTCAGCAGTGAGCACACATGACACCACCTCACCAAGGATTGAATGCAGTAACTTCAGCTTCCGTGACCATTACGTTACTATTGAAACATTGGGTAACAATCCAATGGTCCATATTTCCAACTTCTGTCAGTTTGCTACATAGTGTGACCTTCATGCAATGCCGTAGTTCAGTAACTGTCTTCATGTTCGACTTGATTGGCTCCATTGGTCACTACTTGTTGTTAACACTTCTGGAATCACCTATCGAAGCTAGTCACCAATGAACACTAGAATTATTCAGTTTGGAGATTTAAGGGGATTAATTGATTTCATGTTGGTCATTGATGTTCACTTTTAAGGAGTCCTATACTAGGAAGAAACAGCTGTTCAGCGCTGTCAAGTTTCCAATGTTTCTCTAACTCACATCAGTCCATGATGAATGCCTAACTGAAATCAATAAATGAATCCACGCAAACCTCCAATTTTCGGGGATTATATCAGATCTATTTCTTAATTATTTCAAAGAAAGGAGAATACTAATCATTTCCGATTCTTAGATATATACTTTTGAGTTCGAAGATGGTTTCACAATATGGTCGTTCTGTAGAAAGTTTATGTGAATAGGTCAATATCTGAGTTTTCCCGGTTTTTATCCGATCAAGTACAAGCGAGCTCTGATAAAATGCCTGTGCTTATAGGATCTATCGTTTATGTACATCAGATGAAATTGGTGAAGATATCAAATTACTGGTCTAAAAGTATTTATGGAAAACGTATATATCCATTGAAGTTTGTAGACTGTTATAGAAGCCTAGTAACACTAAAGCCAACACCAAATCAATTCATATCATGATATGAATACAGACAGTAAACTCTGTCTGAAACCTTATCCAGTAAACAATACTGTTCCACTGCGTGACATTTCTAATTAACAGACTAAAATAGGCTAAAAGTAGCCATTATACATCAAACCTTATCATCATGGGAAAGACAAAGCATATGCTTCACCACAAACCTAAATACTGCACAACTAATTACGTCATTACTCCATTACGTTTATTGGTTTATATGTGTTTGTGATTACAAATACATAAGGGGGAGTAATTGAGCCATACAGTTGAGGGTGGGAGAACAGATGAAGTATGAAAGCTTGATAAGCATATGTCGTAGACAACCCTTTTCACCTGTAGCTAAATATATTACAGGAAGGGGTCACAAAATTGATGTCCTATTGGTGTTTTATATGGAAATAGTCAAGGTCGCATACTGAGATTTGCGAAAGCGATAGCCATACAGAAATTGAAATCACCTTTATGTGGACAAGAACAGTTTGTTCTTACACTACTCCTACCTTGGTAAGCCTTGTTGTTCAATTATGCCACTCTTTGTTTTTATTCTTATCTTTCTTAGTTTTAACCCCCTATCATCTTAATTATTCTGTTTATCTTCTCATCGCCGATCAGATTGTTCTAAACACAACACATTGTTCAGATAAACTTCGTCTTCTAATCATGCTATTTGAATTCATAAAAGTGAATACTTGTTTCATATTTCTGAAGAGAAGACTCCTGCTATGCACGGTTAAAATGTGAAACGAACTCTTCAACCTAAAGTATAAAGTCGTATCTCAAAAAGTGAGATTGGTATTGTACAAATTATGGATTTCTGACCACATATTTCCTCGACAATTTTATATAGAAGCCCATACGCTAACAGAGATAGAAAAATTCGATACAGTATAACAAAGGAGAATTACAAGCATATCAACAAATAGTAATAACTAATACCCGTTGTACAAGAGGTGGCCATCGTGCTTCAGTAGCCCAGTGGATAACACAGTGGGTACGAGTCCCAATGGGAACAACAATACTGATTGGAGTGTAAGCACATCCAGCTGACGAGTCTCTAATGGGACGAAACACGGGTCCTGGGTTCCACTGCTAGCCACTATCCATCATTAATATATAACTCAAACATAGGCAGTGTCGAGGCATCCGGGCAGGAGCCCTTATGCCAATAAAGACCGGGATAATGCAAGTAACAACACTAAACAATGAAGATATTGACCAGATGCGCAGGGTTTTTGCAATAGGCATAGTTGTTAGTCACCCTTAGATATGATATTTTGTGAATTTGTTGTCGACTTGCTCACTCAACAGACCATTGAAAGTGTAGGTGACTTGGTTCGGATCCTGGAGATGTCTAGAACGTTTGGTCTAAACTAGATCACAATGATGAAAATTTGTCTGTACTTAATCACTGACAATCTGAACATCAAATCACCTTTCATTTTCGGTTCTCTATCATACGATATTCTTCTACTTTCTATGATTTCCTGTTTATTTGATTGTGATGTATGACAGCTTGAACTGCTACAATTTTGTATACTGTTTGTCCCTTGGGTTCCTAGTGGAACATAGGGCTTCAGTTGCACGTCTCATTTTCGCTCTTCTCTCTGCAGTCTTTTCAACGTGCCCATCAGCTTTCACTTCTTTCTGACATAATCTCCTCCATGTCACCCTCGGACACCCAACTCGTCGTTTCCCACCTAGGTCTCACTGGACTGCTCGGTCTGGCCTGGAGTGTGATATCCCCAAATGATCTCCTCACTCTATGTCCAATTCAAATGCATGTCCACTTTCTTCTTCTGCATATTTGTTGGACGATGGGTTCTTGCTTCCTTAGTTCGTTACCAGGCCAGAGTGCCTCCTTGCTTATTCTTTCTGGCTATCTGATCTCCATCTTCAGTATCGAGTCAGCGTAGGTGGCAGATGTTGATGAATGTCTGTAGTTTGTTGGAAATGCTTTTCGTGTCGCGCCGACTCTCTCAACCATCACATAGAAACACTGACTTATTTACTAGCTGACTTAGTGTTGAAAATCCTTATCTTGTTCTTTACGCCGATTGCAGTGCAGCAGATCTCTCTCGTGACCTATACATGTCTTTTTTTGAAGTGGATTCGTAGGACTTCGTACTGTGTTCATCTCGCTACTTTAATTGTCAGGTATGTGATCAAGTTGATACTCATCACGGACTGACATCAATTAGAGAGCCATTGAAAACCTGGCAGATGTTTCGTTCCAATGTAGGACTCCTCAGCAATGCTCCACCACTACTACTTCTCCAGTGGTCGGGCTTAGGATCTTCAGGTTCACTGACTGTCATGTTATCATTGAGCTGTTGGGTTTTAATCCACTTGTCCATATTTTCCTACATCTGTTAGTTTACGATATACCGTGATCATCCATTACCGTCGATTTATTGTAACCTCCATCCCGCGTTGTTTATACCTTTCTCATAGACTTAACAAATTCTAATCCATGGTTAATCAGGGTATGATGCAATAGTGTGCTATCTACATCTCGAACTCACTTACTAGTTGATCAGCTTCTCTAACATCCACTGTTCACCTATCAATAATCATCATTTTGACTATCTGAGATACTCTTGGTTTGGCAGACTAAGTGATTATTCAAGGTGAAATGAAAATTTGGACAGCGGCAAGATTCGAACCATTGACCACTGGGCCTCGTAGCTCAGTTGGTAGAGCACAGGGTCTAAAATCCGTTGGTCGCTCGTTCGAATCCCACCTCGGAGCAAAATTTCCACATGATGATCCTCAATCATCACTCAGTATTATTATCTATAATCTCTGATATTACTTATCAGGTGATTTATGTACATTACGTTAGCTTTATTGTCATTTATTTTACCACCTTCTAGTATATTCTTTTGTTTTGAGGTGAATAGTTAACTTTTGTTCACTGGTATTTTTTTTATGCAATCAGATCAATATAAGTATTCATTCGATCAGCTTTCATGGTCTTTCTATACAATAGTACTTTTTAACGTGGTCATATCAACAGGAAAATTATTCTCTAATTGTATTTGCTATAAAGTATTCTATTATATCTTCTTATCAGAATAATATACCTTACAGACTTTGATATTTTTCGGTGTTACGGTTAATTATTGTTTCGTTTGATGTTTTATCACTTTACAGAATCACCTTTATGTTTTCAACTTTTGTCTCTTATGTGTATGTCATATGATTCTTTCGATGCTATTACTACCGCCAACTATCTTTTACTTTGATATTTACTGCTTTCATCGTATATTCTTTTATTGTTCATATTAATTCCTTTGTTGTGGATGCTTCATCATCAGACTTGATGACATCTTGAGCACTAACTTCGTAATGATCACCACTTCATAGAGAACATCAAACCATCACCATCCTCATATTGATTCCTGTTATACTGAATGACCCCTTTCTCTATGTGATACTCAGAAGGGGTGCACTATTATGCTACTTGTCTCAGTTAATTGTATCCGTCTAGGCACTTAACTTTCAAACATGAGTTGGAACCATACACCATCTATCTGGGTCTCGACAACTGCATAATATCATTGGTCATTACATGGTAGTATAGTTCACCCTCCTATTATATCAACATGAACAAGGTTGGTGAGTGCAAATTTAACAACTATGTATATGTTCATGTGGCAAGTCACATCTATTATGTGAAGGCTTATGTACTTTACCTGACTAGTAAAACCTCGGTAGATTGAGGTGTTCGAACTTGTGACGCATTGGTTAAGAGTTAGCTGCTGAAATCAAATAACCAATGCTCCCTAATGTTTTTTATAAATGGCTTCATTTACTTTCAGAACAAGGAAGAACTTTATTAAACTATAAGTCTGTTGGAGGCAATCGACATATCTATCATATCCATCTGTACCTCTTGATAGTATTTCTTTCCACGTTTGTCTGTCATATATGTTTAGCGCATTGCATAGATTAGTGAAACAATAAATATCCACTTTTAACCATCATATTTCGAGTTCAAATCCATTGTACCTGCTTTCTTTTACGAAACTGGATGTTTTTTCTGTTTGCCTATTATATATATAGTATCCATTCTGAAGTGCATATTTCACTCGATATATTTTCTTTTTACATTAGGCGCAAATTCTGAACCGCCTCCTCCAACTTCAACAAATTCTGATACTGACGATACACAGGCAACAGAGTCATCTACTGTTACAGCACAAACGACAACCTCATCGACAGTAGAATCTAACCAACAAGAATCAGATAATACAGATGGAAATCGAAGAATTGGTGAAATAGTCTTAGGATTAGATTTGGCTCCAGGTGAAGAACCATTGCCACAGGGTTGGGAGTTGGCAAGAACAGCAAGTGGTCGTAAATTCTTTATCAATCATAATGAACATACTACTACTTGGGTAAGGCTTTTTATACATACTGTGTCTTTACAACTAATACTTTAATTTATTCGAAGATTGGTGGCTGGTTACCATATCTTACTCATGATGTTCCTCGCTTTGCTGTATTTCATCACAGATACCTCTAAAGTAATTTCGGTAGGTATTAAAGACTACCTTCTGTGTTACGTCACCTTTTACTGTTACTATACGCAATAATGACTAGAATCTTGTTAGGGTAGAAAAAGTCTCTGACCGGTCAAATCAAATTCTGGTCGAATACACAAATTTATTCATTCACTATAATAGTTCCAGTAACATTTGAATAGTAGTAAGAGCTAAGAATGGATTCTAAATGACATTTACTGAGGATTTAACCATTTTATGGCATCTTTCTTTTCATGTTTCAACCCTTTTAACGGAGGTTGACCCCATTCGTGCCTCAGTGACCCACTGGATAACGATTTGGCGTTTAAAGTGATGGGTGGTAAGCGGTTCGAATCTCAATATGGACAACACTCACTAGAGTGCAGGTACATCCAGCTAATTAGTCCTAGATAGGATGAACCGCGTGTCCTGCATTTCACTGCTAGCAACCACTAAGCAAATGATAACATAACGAGTAATCAGGCATTATCCAGGCCATCCGCAATAGGAGCCTATAGGCCAACAGGGATCGGTTAGTTCAGTCCAGAATAACAATTGGAAATTATAAGTGTCAGTAAGCTGTTTGTCTTATTCTGATCTATAATTACATCCTGGGAACTTTTAGTCAGAACAATTCTGGTCAACTTAGTGACGAAGCTAGATTAAAAACAGACGGATCATATTAGAATCTTCGGCATAAATCCGGTAATTCCACGATATCATACTTCAATACAACACATTATGTGAAAGTGAAATAAAATGACTTTGGAACCAAGAGAAACGAATGTAATAGGAGAGAGAATATTGCCAAAAATGGCTAACAGATCGATGGTAAAAGTAAACACATGTTCCCTATTGTAACTGATTTCAAGTCGAGTTAGCTTGCATCTCCAATCATTGTTTTCTAACTTCTCAAAAGCTGTAATCAATACGCCTACATGTATGCATATACTTGAGAAGACCAACAGTTATAGACTTGATTGGTGGATGTAATTTTTACTCTGGCTTCTTTTGACATATTTCTAACCTAGTCGAAGCTGTTGGTAACTTGACATTTATACCAACCTCTTCTGCCGATGATGATGATCATCATCATTTATTACTGGTATTGTAAAAAACGTTATCACTTTTAAGAGATAATAATTTTTAAGGTTTTCTTGTTCTTAAGGTATAGTATTCGGTTAGTGAAACAATGACATTCGTGACGTGTTTCGAGAAGTATATCCTGAAGTTCTAATGATATACCAGTTTAAAGTGAAGCAGTTGCCAGATGAAGACCTTGGTCGATAGTCATGAATTGACAGAAGTAGGAAACTGTGGACCACTGAATGGTTAACCCGCTCTCCGTATAACCTGAAGGTCGTGAGTTCGATCCGTAACGGAGCTGGGCCATAGATGCGTACTATTGAGGATTCCCATACTAGAAAAAAACAGCTAGCCAGTACTCCCAGGTTTTCTTTACAACCTTTAGAGTCCTACAGTCTTAAGTGTCGCTTGGACATTTTACTACAAATGGCTAGAGTAAGGCGGAACGAGATATTATTGCTTGACTTCCAATGCATATTACATCGATTATGATTCATGCATAATGACAACCCATTGGATGCGTTTACAATATGTATATAAATAGTGTAATCACAATACTGTTTTTACTTTATTCAAGCGTTTTATAAACATAACTTGGCTTTGTATATCACCGGGAGATCACAAATTTCACAACAACTACTGGTACACGTTGCACAAGAAGTAACGTGCTCCAGTGGCCTAGTGGGATAACTCCTCGGCGTTTGAAGCTATCGGTACTGGGTTCGAGTTTCAGTGGAAACAATATCACTAACTGGGGTGCAGGTACATACAGCTGATGAGTCCCGAATAAGATGAAGCGCGCGTCCTGGATTCCCTTGCTAATCACTAAAGTCAATATAACATCATGAATATCCGGCAGTATCTTGGCATCTGCATAGGAGCCCATCTGCCAACAGAGGTAGAGCAGTTCGGTTCTGTATAACAACAGGAAGTTACAAATAATCATAACAAACCCAAGTGATTCGTTGGTACGTATAATTTCCTGTTTCTTATATACTGAGTCGAATTGACCGACGTCTGTTTGCATATGATCTATACATTTGCCTTGATAATAACTGAGTATTCATTGTTATAATTTACTTAGCTGACAAGTCTCAAATTGAACAAAACGCTCGTCCTTTGTAGATTTTATAGAACAACCAACTTTAAACACCTTATCAGTTGTGTATATATTTGAGGCGTGGTTTGCATTTTGTCTTCTAATTTTACGAATTCAATCTTTTCATTTTACGCATAAACGTTGTTTTCTTCTTATCCCTAGGATGATCCTAGAACTACTCGATCGAACAGTCAACTTACTGATGGCTCCTTGTTGACGCATGAAGCTCAACGACATATTATGAAAGATTTGGGACCGTTACCGGTAAGTTGAACTGCGAGTATTGTTATTATTCCTACCACACCAAAGTACATACTCCATGTGCAAAGGGTGAAACATAGCTGTTAAAAGTAGAATATATGAAACGGGAGTACAGGGTTTTGATCACAAATGTCTTCGTAGCACTGGTCTTGTTTTTTTGCTGGAATAATTGCGTGAGCAGTGTTGAGGTCAGGCGGAAGGTACTAGACGAGATAGGCAAGTCGATTGATGAGGTTGTGAACCTTCATCTCCTAAGATAGCTTGAACATGTACTGCGCATCCTGATCCACCGCTTACCTCGACGTGCCATGCTGGGGGAAGTTGAATTAGGTTGGAAGAGGGTTCAAAGTGGAGAGACGAGGAGGTATCACAAATAGATGAAGTACGTGACTGTTGGTCGCAGCTGTGTTAGGAGATGTAGACAATCTGACTGGGGTCCCCTAGACTATAGGAATCAGTGGTTAAAGACTGTAGGTGACATAGCTGAAAATCGGTCACAATGGCGCAGATGTATGCATTCTTTGGTATTTTCTTATTCTTAAATACCATAATCTTCAAATTTACGTCGCATATCAGAAAAAAATATGAGGCATTGAGAAAAATACCTAGAGAAACCTGCGTGGAACAGAACTGGAAATCTTCGAAGGATATATAGAAGGAAACCTTCATAACCATGTTAGAAATGTAGAAGAAGAAGAGGCAAGACAAGGGATCGACCTCGGCGGACACATGGAAGCTGATAGGGAGGGAGAGAAAGATGATGAAGCAGGAAATGAACCAGTGCAGTGCAGTGGAGGGCAGCGATGAGCAGCGAGAAGAGCAAATGGATACAACCTAGAAATAAATACTACACTGTACAAAGAAGGGAAGAAGAGTGCGTGGAGAGATAAGAGATACTTGTACGAGGAACGAGAAGATGGGCATACGCTCGCTATTTGACCGATGAAGACCTCAAGAGAAGATTTGGGTTTCGCCAATGATGATTTATATCTAGTGTCTAATGTCGCATAAACTCGAAGATCTACAGTCAAAAGCCAACAAGTTGGCAGAACAGGTGAGGCAAGGCAACAAAGTAAGGTGGGCCTTCATTCAAGTGAACGTATCGAAGACAGAGGTGATGAAGATACCCAACGAACAACAACAACAAGCACCAAACACCATCAACGGGAGAAACCTAAAGGAAGTTATCTTTTTCACCTACCTACCTACCTACTCATCTACCTAGGCAATGCAGCATCGTTTCAACTACAATCAGCACAAGCACTGGCACAGATGAGGACGTCAAAACCAGTCAGGATCGGAAAGACTGCAAGATAGGCCTTGCTGCATTCATCTGAAATCAGTGTGGAGATCTATATTGCACTACACTACACTACACTACACTACACTACACTACACTACACTACACTACACTACAATGCACTCAGCATATGGAACAAGACCCAGATATTCAACACTGTCAGTCAAGTAAGTCATTGCTTCTATATGATGGTTGAGAGGATTGGCGCGTCACTAAAAGTATTTCCAATAAACTACAGACATTCATCAACAGCTGAGGCCCACGCTCACTCGATACTAAGCATCAGGTCGTAAGGCCAGAAAGAATAAGCAAGGAGGCTCTCTGACCTGCCAACAAACCAAGAAAGCAATAACCCATCGCCCAACCAAGTGGAGATGGATTGGATTGGGTATGGACTGAGAAGGTGGTTTGGGGACAACATGCTCCAGGTCAGATCAAGTCAGGCCAGGCCGTCGAGTGGGAGCCAAATGTGAAACGACGAGTTGGGCGTTGGAGGTGAGGGTGACATGGAGGAGATTGTGTGAGGAAGAAATGAAAGCTTCTGTTCAGTTGTTGAGCCAGGTAGAGCCAGACCCCAGTCAGACAATTTACACCTTACACTGATTAAACCAACAGTCAGAACTGATGTAACTGAGAACGTCCAGTACATTATCTTCGAATAAAAACTCTGAACCCACTGTAAAGCATGCAGTTTAAAAAAAGTCCTATAAGTATATGTATTATTCACTTGTATCCCCACTCATCCACCCCTCATTTTTACACCTAAAATAAGTGAAATAAAATTGTGTGTAAAACCAGTTATTCATTTAGTGTTATTCCATCCTAATCCGAACGTCTATCTGCCTTTTCCACTTAGTCTAATGTCATGTAATGTCTAACGTATGAAATCCACTATGATAGTATAAATGAAACCTAACCTAGTCACTGATTTTGTTGTTGGAAGATTTCGTTTTTTGTTTAAAAAAAATAGCTATCTTTGGTACAACAAAAACAACTGAATCATAGTTCGTCTGAAGTCATTATCCTTTAGGTTGAACACATTTCAACACCACCAGTGAACCATCGATATGATACTCTAGCCTACGCTCTACTATCTTCTGTCATCGACAGTTGCTAACGTCCACCACGTCTGGATCACATTTCATGCACCTACATAGCTTTAAAAAAAGAAGAGTAGCTTTCAACTGTTTCCACTAGGGATGAATGAATGCATTCACATATCATTACTCTATCACTTTTACCTGTGTCTGTCATACTCACATATTCCAAAGCGCATATCTCTTAATTTTGGAGGTCAACTTTTCTGTTAGTGTAATCGTGTTTTCGAGTATGCTAAACAACGGGCATACAAGTATATATATATATATATATATATATATATATATATATATATATATATATAACTAGCAGTTCGTAAGTAGAGCGGAAGACGCATCCTTACATCCTACTGCTACCTGTAACTCAGTAGAGTGTGTGCACTATCAATTCAATATTAGGTAAATAGATTGATTATTCTGTCTTTAAATTGGTTCACTTCATATCGATAAAGAAAAATAACCAGTAAATACAACGTCAACAACGAGTTGTCACTCTTAAGGAACATTCTACACATATGTGTATTAATTAACCTCCTTTCATCATTTAATATAGTCTGCCCCCTGACCGCAAACAATTCTGGAATATTCTACCTACTGTAACATGTATTCACAAATATACAGCTTAGTAAATGACTTCGTCGAAAACAAAATTTTTTCTCCGTTGAAACCACGTCTTGTCTTAAGGATTTATTTACCGAGTAATTGTGGGTGTATGTGTCTTTTTTTTCATTGACAGTGACATTTATCTGCCTCTACGTTCATCAAATTAAGTAATGGTGTCACCTAGAGATTTAATTCATCTTAGTCACATTTTGTGTACATAAATCTTTGTATCCATTCCTATATGACGTATACACCTCCCCCCGCACGCACACACACACACACGGTGTCTGATTGTGTTTGATTGATTGTTAATAGGTTCTTACTGAGCACTGTGATAGAATGTAATTCCATTTTAATTGGTTTATTAGTTTTATCTCACAGGGTAACAGTATTGTCTACTGCATTACGTTTCGGACATAACTTCCGATAACCACTAATGGCTGATCAAAGCCATTATAACGCCTTGTCTCATTTTTAAGAATATGTTAGGAGTAACTGCTTTTTGTTTAACCACTATTCAACAGACCTTTCAGGTATGGTAGATGGACCTCGAGAGAACAAGCGCTCCACCAGCATAGCTCGTTGGGTCATCGTGATATAAAAGCCCGCCCACCACGTGCAGGTAGCAGCTACATGTCGGATTACCTAGTATTACTATTATTTGTCCCTTGGGTTCCTAGTAGAACAGAAAGCTTCAGTTGCACGTCCCAATTTCACTCTCCTCTCTGCAGTCTTTCCAACCTGCATCCACGACTGCAATCAAGCTTTCACTTCTTTCTCACACAATCTCCTCCATATCACCCTCGTCTCGGACACCCAACTCATCGTTTCCCACCTGGGTCCCACTCGAGCACCTGGTCTGGCCTCGCCTCGCCTCGCCTCGCCTCGCTTGGAGTGTCATGTCCTCAAACCGTCTTCTCAGTTTATATCCAACCCAATCCATCTCCACTTCCTTCTTCTGCATATTTGTTAGGCGATGGGTTCTTGCTTCCTTGGTTCGTTGGCAGGTGAGAGTCCCTTGTTGCTTATTCTTTCTGGCTATCTGATCTCCATCTTCAGTATTGAGTGAGCGTAGGTGGCAGATGTTGATGAATGTCTGTAGTTTGTTGGAAATGCTTTTCTTAACGCACCGAGTCTTTGAACCATCATATAGAAGCACTGACCTGACTGAATTAGTGTTGAAAATCTAGATGTTGTTTCACATACAGTGTAGTAGATCTCCACACTGATTTCATATCGATGAATGCAGCAAATCCTGTCTTGTTGCAATTCCGATCCTGGCTGGTTTTGACGTCCTCATCTGTGCCAGTGCTTGTGCTCACTGTAGTTGAAACAGTGCTGCCTAGGTAGGTGAAAGAGACAACTTCCTTTAGGTTTCTCCCGTTGATGGTGTTTGGTGCTTGTTGTTGTTGTTCGTTGGGTATTTTCATCACCTCTGTCTTCGATACGTTCACTTGAATGAAGGCCCGCCTTACTGCGTTGCCTTGCCTCACCTGTTCTGCCAACTTGTTGGCTTTTGACTGTAGGTCTTCGAGTTTATGCGACATTAGACACTAGACATAAATCATCATTGGCGAAATCCAAATCTCCTAGGGTCTTTTCATCGGTTCGAGTTACCTTTGTAAATGTATTAATAGAGGTCACTGGTGGAATAAGCGGTCATTTTCATGCAAAGTTTATGAGTGGGATAAAGCCACCGCGAACAATAGGGAATTGTTAGTTACGGACAATAGCCGTTAATTATTTACTGCGCTACAGTTCGTTCTGTTCTACGTTAGTTGTCAAGCATGCCCATTGAAGGTGGAAGATATGAGAAGGCTTCAGTTGTTTGATCACCATTGGCTTCGTGGTGTCAAAACAGAAATCTAGAGTCTTAGACAGTGGAGGATAGTCAATTGGTTAGGCTGTAAAGCTTCATCAACTCAGGTGACTAGGACATGTACATCGTCACACAGTCCCAACTGATGTGGGGGCTTAGCCTACGAAAAGTTTTATGATGATCATTCTGAAACAACATCAGTCTATGATGTTTTTGACTGTTGGTCTCAGGCGTGTACAGAAGTGTAGACTTCTTTGTTTTACGCCTGCATGATAACAGAAACCAGTTGTTGGCGACTCCAGTTGATGTGACTCAGAATACATTTTACTGATGCAGTGTCCACACATTATCCTCATCTTAAATTCCCATACTGAATTCAATATTATTTTATCCGTTTCTTGCTTAGCTTATCATGGCTTTCTACTTTTCAAACTGCTTTCTTGGCTATCTCTCATCTTAGTACTTTGTTGTTTGATATGCAGACATATGTGCTGATTTGGATCGTTACTCAGTAGTGATTTAATGCTATGTTGATGATGATGATATTAGTGGATGTAAGTTGACAATTCTATCCACTATGATACTACTCTAGTGTGTTTAATTGTCCCTAACCATTGGGTCACGGATTCCAACCCCTCCCCCACTATATGCTTATATTCAAACAGCCAAGTAATATTACCAGACTTTTACGTAATAGAAGTAACTCATCGTCTCCACTTGGGTATTGAATTACATTTCATCCAGGTTAAGGCTTTTATTAATTTCGCATATCTTTGAAAATTTTGTTTAAATAACTTTTTTTCTATGAATTATCTGCCATTGTGGTATTGTGATGTATGATACATTTGTAGTATAAATGCTGTTCACTTGGTATACACTTGAGTTCATGGACTTTTATTTCTCTTTTCTATTTAGTCGATATATGTTAAGGTCTGCTTGAAGTCATCTATAGTATCTGTCGGATATTACTTTTGTGTTAAGACAGTAAATAGGTTTATAGAAAATGTTTATGTGTGTATATATTACTCATTATGTGTTTGCCCTACTTAATAGCCTGGTTGGGAAGAACGTGTACATAGTAATGGTCGCATCTTCTATATAAATCATAGTAAGTTCATCTATTTGTATTCTTGTAATTATTTTCACTACGTTTTATTAACTTGGTTGATATGCTACATTTATTATTTTCTTTTACGTCATGCACAATTTTATATCTTATATACATTCGTCTTGTGGTATCTAAAAACGCTAATCATTATCACCATCATATGGTTTTTGAATGGTGCAATATATTGACTGAAGTAAGTTCAGGCTGGAAAAACCCCTCGGCATAGCCAGACTAAAACATGGTACCATTGCATGCGATGTCATTGATTATTGGTTTGAGGCATGTAGGGGAGATGCAGACTAACCAGTTTGGGGTCAGTGTGATAACACAAGGAAGATATGACTTACAATCTATATCAATTGCACAGATTTATGCACAAATTATGTTTATCTTAGCCGCTATCCTACTGATTTCTCTCTCTTCATCTTTGTTACTTGTTGTAGTGATATGAAGTGGGGCAACTTGGGCCATTCTGCAGTAATGCCTAATCCTATGTTGATATTCATCGATTGCAAACTTTCCATCCTGAGAAATCATATCAGAGCATACACACGAAGTGAATAACCGCTCTCTAGTCGAATCTCGTAACTATATCTGGTATGAGAATATTCTGAATAAGTTCAGTGTGTACATAGATAAATATCCTAAGAAATGGTACGTTTATACTAGGTGATAACTGAAGGTGAAATGAAAATTTGAATCGCGACCGGATTTAAGCCAGCGATCATCGGGTTTCCGACCCGAAAACTGTCTCTAGACTATGGTGTAACATTTCTTTAGTGATTTTGGAAGCAATGACTCTCAGCAGATTTCTTGAAGCCACTAAATTCACGGAATCATCTGGAGTTTAAAACTGCTGGTAAATATTTCACTATCTCATATTATTACTATTATTATTCTTTCTGTTAGTGCTTTTCTTTTTCCGGTTGGTTGGTTGGTTTTTATTCTGTTGTATCGTTTCAATTTTCATGTTTACGTTTGTTGCTACTCTCCGCTTTTTGTCCATGGTTACTTATTCAGCAATACCACTACTAATAATATTCTCCTTTCATTTTATTCTGTTTTTTTCATTAGTATATTAACAACTGTATTATGTTAGAAAATAGTTATTATCATAGCTTGATATACTCTTCATTCTACTGCTTCTTCATCTGTACAACTGCTTATGGAGAGTTGTCATGTGTCTGCCAGAGATGCTGACTGTCACCATTCGTATTTAACTTCGTTATAGACGTATTAATGGACATAACCTTAAGCACGTCTGATATCCCAGGGATTGATCTACTCCTTGAAGGTCATCTGGTTCATTTGGCATATGCAAATAAAATTGTTCTGCTAGGCGAAGACGTTGACAAAATTCATGGTCTTCTAAACGCGTTGAACATAGATGCGAGTATGTTTGGCATACATCTCGCATCTGTCAAATGAAAAATGATGCTCAAAGATTGATCTAGAATTACTCCTAGATTAAGTATAAGTGATGAAGTGGTGGAATGCGTTGACCACTTCACTTAATTGAGGAGTTACATCAGCTCAAACAGGCTGACTGCTGACGAAGTCCCAGCTAAATTGTGTTGTCTGTGGTGCCGGTGAGATACCTAACTATCTGTCAAAGACGAGTATACTGTGCTGCAACCCGTTCCCCCGGTTATACGACTGAGACGGCCGTTAAAAGTACAAGATATGAAGTGAGTACAAGGTTTTGGTCACACATGTCTTCGTAGCATTGTCCGCGTTTGGTGGAATCATCGTTTGAGCAATGTTGAGGTCATGTGAAGGGTCTTGGGTAAGTCTGTTGCTGTTGATGAGGTTGTGAAGATTAGTCAACTGAGATAGCGTGGATATGTACTGCGCATGCCTAACCACTGCTTACCTCAGCATGCCGTGGTGGGGTGAGTTGGATTCGGTTAGGAGAGGGTTCAAAGTGGAGGACGAAGACGTGTCAGCAATCGATGATATGTAGACCGCGTGGCTGGGGTTCCCCGAGGTGGTAAGCACCAGCGGTTGAGAACTCCCTGTGGCGTAGCTGAAGATCCGTTTTCTAAAGCTTGAGTATTTGCGCTTACCTTTGTCTTCAAATTGCTTATCCTCTCACACTACTTTGATATCAGTCTTTTTCTATCCACCTGTTCTTCCTGTACTACTGTGAAGTGTGACAGCTGGAGGTGATACACTTTTGTGAGAGACTCTACATAAAGTTTTGTATCTCTCTGTTTATTGCTCTTTACTTTTATATTCATTGTATGCATTACATGAAGGCTTAGAGAACCTGTAGCGAATAATATATAGTATGGTTCACCAATACAGTACGGATTTATATCATATTAGGAAGCGTTACAATAACTCTACTAATTCGTTTTTCTAATGCACATGTACATATGTTAAGAAATGAAATTCGCAGGTAACTGATTCACCTAATATAACAATAAGAAATGTTAAATAATCAATCGCCTCATATGAGTTACACTGATGTACCGAAGAAGAGTCAATCCAACTGAAGGTAAATAAAAGATTTGTATCGTCTGTCATGAAATAGCTGTTAAACAAATATACGCCTCTCAAGATTTTAACTTAAATAAAGTGAAACATTGGTTTATTTGCACAAATATTGTTAGTATTAAGACACAAAGTTTACAGTTTCAAATAATCAATTCCATTAGAACAACGGATACTATCATAGTGAATTCTCTTCGACTTTTAAGAAGTGAAACTCTGTAGAGTAGTGTACTCTATCCTTTACTGAGGTGTCGAATAATACCATGAAATTATACACACATTAATTTTGGCTCATAGCCTATTATTACATACACTTTTAACTGGGCTAATACAATGAAGACCGCCATCTCATCTCCTTTTTACTCTTCTTATGACAACTTCAATTGGTTGTTGTTGTTGTTGTTGATTATCCTGTAGGCTTATCTTATTGAAAGATATTTATTCTACTTCTTAACTTCAATATGTCCATCATGTGTTAAGCTGGTATCCGAAAACGAAGAATAATAAATACGGATAGTTTACTTAGGTTATATTTGTCTTTCTGTCCAGGTGTTTACCACTCGTGTTTAACTATACACTTCCAGGGGGTTACTTAAATTATTTTGCAGATTGTATTTCCCAGTTGTAATCTTCTACGCTATGACATTTAAATGTGAAGTTTTGGATCTTTGGTTAGGCAGTTGACTTTTCATGAATGGGTTGTGTGTAGGTTCGAGGTTTGGGCTCAGTTAAGTATGCGTGCTTGGCTCACCGCTTACTGCCGCAATGTGCACAAAGTTGCTGATGAGTTTGGATTATAATTTCGATTTAGGCATTTACATTATTAACTTATCAAAGAGGTAGCTGAACACTTTTTCTGTCTTCTAGTCAATTCGTGATTGACTTGTAGAGATGTGTGAATTTTCAATTCAATGCAAAATAGTCATATTTAACCTACCTATTTGTCTATCAAATCATATCAGTTGGCAATCATAAAATATGTGTAAACATTGAACTATGGTCAAGTGATTGGTTAGTCTGCAAACAAACATATATGAATATTCCATATGTGAGGTGGTCATAAACCATATTCATATATTCATGTGTGTATGTGCATAAGCTGAAGTTTGCACTACATTATAACATCGCTATCACCTCCTGCATTATTCACTGCTTGTTACCGACGTCCAACTGGTTAGTTGTTTGAATAAATTAAATTTCATGATATATGAAGAAACATGCCTACAGACAGTAATTGCATATTTATAAAGATGTATAAAGGTGAAACAGTTTATCGGGTGTCTCTTATATTATGCTTATCAGATGTATACTTATCGGATAAACTGTAAACGCAGTGAATCATTTCTGTTATTCTCTGACAAGGTGAACAATGAAAAATTCATTTTATGAAGGATGATGAGGGATTGAAAGTAGCGAAATCTCTTCTGATTACAATCTATATCTATACAGCATTTATAGTAATTCAAAATATCATCCTGTTACTTAATCTTAACGAAGTTCAGTTGAATGAAGGAGAAGTAAAAATATGCTGGCTTACTGTAGGCTTTCGTAAACGACCATTTACATATTATGTTGATTAGTGACATGATAAAGTTTTACTATAAATATTGTCTTGTATCCTAATTTATAGGCTTCCAAGCAAAGCATACATGTGAACAGTAGCAAGCTATCTTTTCCTTTTAATTGGTGTATCCATAACTGCATGTTCTCTCTCCTCCTAAAAGCCAGTGCAAGTGCATCAGATAGGTCTTGAATTTTTAAGTATCCTAAGACTGACAGGTCTTCATCGATATGAAATCAGTGTGGAGATCTACTACACTGCTCAGCACTGCACTCAGCATAAAGCATGAACAACATCCAGATTTTCAACACTAATTCAGTCAGGTCAGTGCTTCTATATGATGGTTCAGAGAATTGGTGCGTTAAGAAAAGCATTTCCAACAAACTACAGACATTCATCAACATCTGCCATCTACGCTGACTCGATACTGAAGATGGAGATCAGATAGCCAGAAAGAATAAGCAACAAGTGGCTCTCACCTGCCAACGAACCAAGGAAGCAAGAACCCATCGCCTAACAAATATGCAGAAGAAGGAAGTGGAGATGGATTGGGTTGGATATAAACTGAGAAGACGGTTTGAGGACATGACACTCCAAGCGAGGCGAGGCGAGGCGAGGCGAGGCCAGACTAGGCCAGGCGCTCTAGTGGGACCCAGGTGGGAAACGATGAGTTGGGTGTCCGAGACGAGGGTGATATGGAGGAGATTGTGTGAGAAAGAAGTGAAAGCTTGATTGCAGTCATGGATGCAGGTTGGAAAGACTGCAGAGAGGAGAGTGAAATTGGGACGTGCAACTGAAGCTTTCTGTTCTACTAGGAACCCGAGTGACAAATAACAAATGATAATAAGACTGATGTTATAGCTTGACAACCCTAGTCATTGGTTGAACCGAACTATTTGGCAACTAATGATGCCTAAGCTCCTGTGTATGGATATCTCCGTATTGTTGGTATTTTCAGTTTGATAGTTGATGATGGATAGTGCCTACGATGGAATTCAAGATGCGCGGGGACTTAAAAGCTTTAGCATAAAAACGGATACTATGCTGGTCGCACGAATGACTATCTGGACTTTCGAAGTGATTAGTCCTCGGTTCGAGTCTTAGTGGGAAACACCCCGTTTCCCCCCACCAACCCGCAGAAAGCTAGATACATTGGGCTGACGATTCCCAAATTGAACGAAACGTGCATGCTGGATTCCACTGCTAGCCACTTCCCATCGTTAATATATTAAGGCCAATTCGTACCTATTGAATAAATCTCAACTGTCGGATTGTCTGCTGTTTGCTTTTCACGATATTCCCGTGTATGCAAACAATATTGTCCTGCTAAGCGAAGATGCTATCGAAATGTAGGGTCTTCTGAACACTTTGAATAGGATTTGGAGTCAGTTGACATGCACTTTTCAGATTTAAGATAATACTTCAGTACCGGTATGCATTCGCTGGTAGCTTAAAGACAGAGAGTGATGTAGTAGAATACGTTGACCACTTTAGTTACTTAAGAAGCTATTAGTGTATATTTTTTTGATTATCAGTTAGCCAGTGTTGTTTACTATGACTGACTCATGTCATTCCCACCGTTCGGAATTGCGCATTCCTATGTAAATTTTACAAATTATTGATATTATTCGACGTCCGACTACACAGGGATAAACCTAATCACAGCAGGATTTTCGGTGACCCAGGGTGCACAGATCACATATTCCTGTGAGTTGAAGACGCTGACAAGATACAGAGTCTTCTGGACACTTTGAATGGCAATTTGACAGTGGTTATGATGCTATTCTCATCATCCAAGTGCAAATTGTTGCTCCACAACTGGTCTTCAACGCTATCCCGTCTTACAATAGAGTGATGTGTTTGAGGACGTTTAACGCTTCACTTCGTTGCGAAGTCAGATCAGCCCTATTGCGTTGGTCAGTGAGCGACGAAATCTGTGCGCGGTTACAAAGGGCTCAGTTGTCTTTTGCCAATTGACACCATCTATGGCGCCACCGCGATACCCCGTTGTCTATTAAGGGTCGAGTTTACTGTTCTGCAGTCCGTTCTGTTCTACTCTATGACTATGATACATGGGTATTGAAGGTGAAAGACATGAGAAGACTTCAGGTGTTTGACCACCGATGCCCTCGTAGCATAGTCTGTATTTCGTGGTGTCACCGTTTGAGTAACACAGAAGTTAGACACAGAGTTCTAGGCAGCAGAGGTAAGTTAGTTGATGCAGTTGCGAACCTTGATCGACTGAGATGGGTGGAAAATGCGTTACGTATGCCTAACCACCGTCTGTCTCGTTGTACAATGTTGGCTGAAGTAGGTTCAGTTTGGGAAAAGGCTCTCGGTGTCCAGAGTGAAACATGGCATCAATGCATGAAATCGTTGACTTATTTCGAGGCATTTTCTTAACCACCATACTTAATCTCATGATCTCATTCCTCTCTTGTATTTCTACTTCATTTAACCGATTTTTCTTTCTTCATCTTCCCCTTCACTGCCTTATTACTTGATGTGCTGATATGAGGTGTGACAACTTGGACTGTTACGCAAGATAATGCCTGGTTTTATGTTGATCTTGATGATGATGTATAGACATATAGTGAACTCTGTTGTTCGCTCTGAGTTAACTAGTATTATGAGATCAGAACTGAAACAGGATTTGCTCAAGTCAACCAGTTTGGTGCCGATAGATAGAACAGAATGTTATCAACGTCTAGATAGATATACAGTAAAGCTACCGAAAAAAGATGTAACGATATGACCATCTAATGGTGATTATGACTAGTTACAGAAAAGGCCTAAAGGTGCCATATTTGCATATTTTTGTAGCATTCCTCATTACTCACTCTGTATATATATATATATATATATATATATATATATATATATTCAACTTGTGTTATATAGATGCACGTACTACACAATGGGAAGATCCTCGTTTAGAGCGTCTGGGTGGTCCAGCTGTCCCGTACTCAAGAAACTATAAACAAAAGTATGACTACTTTAGATCAAGGCTTAGAGCACCTCGTGATCCACAGGCGAAATTTGAATTACGTGTTACTCGAGCAGGTATATTTGAAGATTCATTTCGACTTATTTATGGGATTAAAAGACCAGAAGTGCTTATGCATCGGTAAGTGTTCTTTATTTTATATGATAGTTAATTTTATATTATGTATTTCAAAGTTGGGGATCTAACAGGCTTGTTTATCCTGTGGTAGATATGTCTATGTTAGTTAGGAGCTGAAGCGTAGATATTGCCTGTGGAAGTGACTGTAACTCCGTTAGTTCAAATGTTCAGTGTATTGTCTATCGAGTTTATATTTTCCTATCCTCTTGTTCGACTAGTCCGTGATTCCCAAAACTTCAACTTAGTGACCGCGACTTCCATTCATAACCCCAACTGGATTTATTATTTGTTATTTGTCACTCGGGTTCCCAGTGGAACAGAAAGCTTCAGTTGCACGTCTTAATTTCACTCTCCTCTCTGCAGTCTTTCCAACCTGCATCCATGACTGCACACAAGTTTTCATTTCTTTCTCACACAATCTCCTCCATATCACCCTCGTCTCGGACACCCACACCCACACTGATTTTAGATGAATGCAGCAAATCCTGTCTTGTCGCAATTCCGATCCTGTCTTCGACATCGTTATCTGTACTTGTGCCGCCTGTAGTTGAAACGATGCTGTCTAGGTAGGTGGTAGGCAGGTGAAAGAGACCATTTCCTTTTTATGTCTGCTCTACGTTCACCAGAAGTCTTATCTTCGCTCCTCTGCCTATTTTGCCAACTTGTTAGTTTTCGCCAGTAGATCTTCGATTTCATGTGACATTAAACACTAGACATAAATCATCATTGGCGAAACCCAAATCTTCTCTTCGGGTCTTCATCGGTCAAATAGCGAGCGTATACCCATCTTCTCGTTCCTCGCTGTTGTTTCTTGCATCATCCAGTCGACCACAATCAATAAGATCATCGTTGATAGTAGGCAACATTGTCTTACCTGTAAGTCTGTCTTCACTTCAAAGACATCACTGAGCTTTCCATTGTGTTGTGAATCACTTAGTATGTGGCGTCTTCATACAGTTGTTGAATATGATTGATAAAGGTTTGATGGTTACTAGATGCATAATTCGTAATCTCAGCTCGGTTATAGAAGTCCCGTTTGGCATTTGCTGACTCGAATCATGTTTTGCAGCAACCTGCGAGACATTCGACTGTCTATCAAAGTATGAGTATACTGCACTGCAGTCCTGTGGGATATGCCCGTTAAAAGTAGATGAAATGAAATGGTTACAGGGTTTTGATCACAACTGTTTTCATAGCATTGCTGGTGTTTGATTGAATCACCATGTGAGCAATGTTGAGGTCAAGCGAAGAGTACTAGGTAAGATAGGTAAGTCTACTGATGAGGTTGTTTACTTTCATTGATTAAGATAGCTGAGGCATGTACTATACATGCTGATAGGCCGCCTACTGCGATCACCAAGGGAAATTACCAGCTGGATCTCGAAGCTCACTTGGTAGAGCACCGGAACCGGTTATCTGAAACTCGAGAGACACTCACCAACCTTATGCACGTTTATGCAGTAGGCAATGAGCCATGCCTGTCTTATGATGACGAATGATACTACTTGGCTGTCCTATCCTCGGTATGTGAAGAAGTATTTGAAATCGTGACCCATTTACTTGAGAGTCAACTGATAAATATGAGTGGAGCCACAGCTCCATACATACATACATACATACATACATACATACATACATACATACATACATACATACATACATACATACATACATACATACATACATACATACATACATACATACATACATACATACATACATACATACATACATACATACATACATACATACATACATACATACATACATACATACATACATACATACATACATACATACATACATACATACATACATACATACATACATACATACATACATACATACATACATACATACATACATACATACATACATACATACATACATACATACATACATACATACATACATACATACATACATACATACATACATACATACATACATACATACATACATACATACATACATACATACATACATACATACATACATACATACATACATACATACATACATACATACATACATACATACATACATACATACATACATACATACATACATACATACATACATACATACATACATACATACATACATACATACATACATACATACATACATACATACATACATACATACATACATACATACATACATACATACATACATACATACATACATACATACATACATACATACATACATACATACATACATACATACATACATACATACATACATACATACATACATACATACATACATACATACATACATACATACATACATACATACATACATACATACATACATACATACATACATACATACATACATACATACATACATACATACATACATACATACATACATACATACATACATACATACATACATACATACATACATACATACATACATACATACATACATACATACATACATACATACATACATACATACATACATACATACATACATACATACATACATACATACATACATACATACATACATACATACATACATACATACATACATACATACATACATACATACATACATACATACATACATACATACATACATACATACATACATACATACATACATACATACATACATACATACATACATACATACATACATACATACATACATACATACATACATACATAAATCGCTTAAACTGTTGAGATGCACCTTGAACGTCCGATTTCCCCTCAATAATGAAATATACAGACGGAAAGATGGGATAGCTATGGGTTCACCATTCGGTCCCTTGCTTTATAAGCGATATATGTAGATGATACCTTTGTCTCCAATAGTGCGGCTAATGTAGAAGATATCCTATCTGAATTTAATAACTGCTACCCTTCAATCAAGTTCACGTTAGAGAATAAAATTATTTTAAGATATCCTTTTCTAGATGTACAGCTGAAAAGACGAGACAGTGGATGATTACTCACAAGGTTTATCGACAGAAAACCCACATGGAACGGACAACTTACAAATTGGGTGTCTCTGTGCGCCAAACGAAATCTAATTCGCTCTATGTGTCTTAGGATCTACACTATCTGTAGTCCTAATACTTTGGAAAATGAACTGAATTTTTTTCAAAAAATGTTTTGATTGAAAACCAATATCCTGGATGTTTCGTTACTAAAACTATGAAACTGAAAGCAAATAATCATCTCACTTCTACATCTCCTAGAAAGCCTCTTTCCATGAGCTTACAGCTCAATGGAGACAGCGGATATATTGAGAAATTATCTGGCATGTTCATTTAAGGGAAGATATTTATTGCTACCAAACTGAAACTTTCTCTATATACCCAATGCTTCGATTATGCGTAAAGGATAGGCTAGCTCCCTCGGCCACCTCGATGTGTGTTTATCAATTCACCTGCTCCTATGGAGTAAGGTGTATAAGCCGTACTCAGCGTTTGCTTTTCAAACGCATATCCAAACATATTTCTGTCTAGTTCCACAAAGAAGAAAGGAGAAATCTTCATAGTTCTATTTTAGAGCATTTGATCGATTATAACCACCTGGGAGTAAATACAGAATATAACTTCAGTGTCATCTATGGAGTTCGTGCATTTTTCATGAAAGCTGTACGCCTGAAATTTCTTCTCTGAACTGCGGAAGCCATGGGAATTAATATTTCGAAACCTGGACTTAACGTCCAAAAGAAATCTGTCTATTCACTTGAATTGCAATGGATATAACGTATAAGAACATTTTTACCTTCAAAAATCTTTTTATTCAGATCTCTCACATCACTCCACTTATATAATTGTGATTTCTGTTTACATTCGCCATACTGCATAACTTAACTTGGTAACCAAATATTAACTCCGTCTTGATAAATCGTCTTCCCACAACTATTACGCAATCCTTTTCCGGATCTCCTGATTTATAATCAAACTTGAGCTTCACTCAAAAAATATTTCATAAAACATTCCTTTTCTGTTACTTCATGTGAATAGAATATTTATGTAGGTGATTATACAGCTTGAGGACGATATCGGTGAAAAGAGGTAACCCTTCGCTAAACGACTTTTGTCTTACATGTATTGATTGGTCACGAGAGTGCAACCAATTTCATGTTGTCTGGTCCTGAGTGCAGACCGAATTCTATCGATCATTGCCACACTGCAAATATGATCGATAGAATTCGGTCTGCACTCAGGACCAGACAACATGAAATTGGTTGCACTCATGACAAATCAATCCATGTAAGCCAGTCCTACAGGAGCCCGAATAGCTCAGTGGTAAAGTCGCTGACTACAACACTGGGTTACACAGTTTCGAATCTCAGGCAGGACATCAGTTCCGTCGAGGTCGCAGATACGCCTAGCCGACGAGTGCCAGAAGGTATGAAACCTAGGTTCAGGGCTTCCTGCCGATTGCCTCCAACCAACTAACGTATTTTGTCTCATAAACTTTTAGTGTTTGTAAGCTGTCTATAAGTTTCTCGTTTTAACACAGCTTTTCTCCCCATAAATAATTTTTTTTCATGCTCTAGAAAATGAGGTGATAAAACTTCTATGAGAAGAATTTGACTTATATGACAGTAGTGTTTAGTAATTTAACACTTGAAAAGAAGGACCTCTCCTTTAAAACACGCTAAAGCCTTTTCGAAGTCCATCAACTTGATTGTATTTCTTTTATGTAACGTGATCTTCACATTGTTGTGTTCTACATTGTCATTTGTTCATTTATTAGGGTTTTTCCTCTCCAAATCTTATCTTTAGATTATGGATTGAATTTATTGGAGAAAAAGGCTTAGATTATGGTGGTGTACAGAGAGAATGGTTTTTCTTATTGTCACGTGAAATGTTCAATCCTTATTACGGTTTATTCGAGTATTCCGCTGCGTAAGTTGATCATTTCATGACTAATAAATAATAATGGTATGTCTATTTACCTATAGAATTATTGATAATTAATTGAATTGATCTCAGGGTAGTATTCATCATTAACTGACATTGGTTGGAACAATATTATAAACCTAGGAAAACTAGACAGCTGTTTCGTCCCAGTATGGGACTCTTCAGCAGTGCGCACCCATTAATCTATCGAGCCAGGGATCGAACTCAGGACTTTCAGGTTCCGTAACCAGCATGTTACCATTGAGAGCTATTAGATCGAGATCCAATGAATACCAACCTGAAATCTATAAATCTCCACAAACACCCAGATTCAATTGATCTAGTGCTCATTGGTGACTAGCTTCGAGAGGTGATTCCAGAAGTGTTAACAACAAGTGGTGACCAATGGAGCCAATCAAGTCGAACATGAAGACACTTACTGAACTACGGCATTGCATGAAGGTCACACTATGTAGCAAACTGATAGAAGTTAGAAATATGGACCACTGGATTGTTACCCAATGTTTCAATAGTAACGTAATGGTCACGGAAGCTGAAGTTACTGCATTCAATCCTCGGTGAGGTGGTGTCATGTGTGCACACTGCTGAGGAGTCTCATACTAGGACGAAACAGTTGTCCAATGCCCCTAGGTTTCCAGTGTTTCTCGAACTGGTGTTAGTCCATGATAAATACCAACCTGAAATCAATAACCCCCCACAAACCTTCAAATTGTATTGATTTGTCGGGATTTCTTCTTGTAGGTATTTGGGCTAGACAACTGAGTAGCTTGCCAAGTTTATGTGTACAGTTTCAGGTAATGATCGCGAAAATCAGTTGGTATAATTTAAAGAATTAATCGTTGGTCCAAGTCTTTGGAATATCCCTCTGATGATTTACGTTTACCTTCGTTTTCTATGACGTTTGCTGTTCCTTTGTGTGCTAGTTGACCGTTGACGAAGGTGGAATGTGATGCCTCAAAGTAGTAGTTATCATGTTGGTAATTCAAACTACCCTTCCTTGAATTGATGAGCACCACTACAAAGTGTTCATTAGTGAAATACTTCCGGATGGACATCACAAAGTTTTAATGAGAAGCTGTAATCTGTGGGGTCAACCATTCAGAAAGGAGGTGGATGCCATCTGAAGACCTTGGGTGATAGTCGTGCTTTATCGTAAATCAACAAGAGTAGAAAACTGTGGACCACTGAATAGTTAGACTGCTCACCGTGAAACCTCAAGGTCTTGATTTCGACGCTTAACCGGGTCACGGTTGCATACTGCTGAGGAGCCACATACTAAGACAAAACACCTGTCCAGTGCTCCCCAGTTTTCTTCTCTTCTCCAACTGACGTTAGCTCGGGATGAATACTACCTGAAGATTAAATGTGTATCTTCATCGTCGTCATCATATTCCGGCTTTTTGGCTGTGATGAATTCTGACGGACTGCAATAATCATTATAGTTATAAAGACTGTAGCAAATAAGTGGTATACATGCATCCTTTGTATACTTGAACTTTTTCTGTCTTACTCGTCTGATCATGGTATCTTTTGTGTAACTGTTCTCTCTAATTCTTTTGTTGTTGCACACTTTTTGTAGGTGAGGTGTCTTGTCTTTGAACTATTCCACTTCCATTTTACTCTATACTAAATTTTCCAGCGTATCATGTGTTGTCTATCCTCATCTTACTTATTGTTTGTCTTATCCATTGTTAACGTTCTTTCGAATATGTGTGTTTGTATGCGGCACAGGAATATCTACGTATTTATTATACAAAATAAAAAAAGGGTTGGGAGTTAATCTTTACAATATACTTTAGTAAGTGATTATCGTCTTTGAAGGACATTAATGCGATTGGTTTTATGGTTATGTCACAGTAAGATAGGCAAAATTCAGTCCATAATATACTTGTTTGTGAGTTTTGTTGAACACATGCTGTTAAATACTGTTTCTCTTTTTAGAAGCGAGTTACACACAATCATTCAACTTTTGTTTTGCTAACTCATCCACTTGGTGTGTGTATCCAGTTCCCTAAAGTAGACAGGGAAAACAAGCTTACATATTTAGCGATGTCATTAACTGATTGATTGTCTACAGAAAGTAGAATGATATCTAAACAATGACTTGTTTGGTTCTCTGATGGAATGGATTTAGAGTTTTAAAACTTCATTTTGATGGTCCTACATTAGTCACCGGCAACCTGAAATGTAGACATTCGTATAATGCTTAACACAATTCGATCAGCACTTGGGACTAGACAACGTGAAGTTGATTACCCTACGGTGACTAACTATTGTGCCTTATCGAATTCTACAGGAGGTCAGTCCCGACCTGAATAGCTTAGTGTTAACGTCTCTGACTCTAGAACACTAGGTGACGCTAGTTCGAATCTCAGAGAGGACGTCAGTTCCACTACTTTATTCCTTAGTGATTAGAGCTGAGAAAATTCATTTTGTCGTGTTGGAGAGTCCTCGGTCACTTGTGTACGTATATGACAGGCTTTTCGGTTCACTTGAATTCAACTTGAATCTCATCATATCTTGCTATAATTACAACGGAACAGTATTAAAATGTTCGCATATCGATGATATATTTGTTTCAGCGTTTTGAATCGGTTCAGAGAATCGAAAGCTAAATTTTCTTTGTTGCAAGCTGTATTCAGAAGTCAATACCTTGTTGAATTCTAGATGAATATCCTCAGCCTCTTGGTTGTCACTAGTATTCATATAAATGGATAGTTGTTTGGTTAAACTCAAGCTTCATCAATCGCGCCTGTCTTCGTTTGAAGAAGGTGATTCCTAGGTGATGATGGCCAAAAAAGAAAGTTATAGCTTTCATTAATCCTAAATATGACTGATGATGATATGAACGATATCTACCGAAGGAAATCGTGTACCTTATCAATCAATTTAGTAAAACAACTTGAATTAAGATCAAACTTTAACTTTTTAAGAATCATATCATGTGGTTCATAGTTTGCATTTACCTGTCATGTGAGTATATGCGTACTCATTTATTCATACATTCCTTAAGTTATCGATAACGGAATCAACTTGCACACGACAAATTTTCAATCACATGTTTATCCGGGGTCAAATTGTCATTGATTGTTATAATTTGCATAGAGTACATCTTCTCTTTATTAGTTGTAAAGACTCCGCATTAATACTCTACTACTAATGTCTATATGACATCTAACTCATCACATTTTTAACAATAACTATAGAGCTTAGGGTTTGATAATTATTTATTTATTAGAACGCAAACATGGTACAACAAGGGCACCAAGAAATGCGCCATACAAAAGGGCAATCCACTGAGATATATTCAAAACAAAACATTCATTACTTTTCAGAAGCAAAAGATAGGATGAAGCTACATCATGACCGCCGCTGAGTTGCGTGATATCTCGCACTCCACTCAGGGGGTCGGGGTGCACAAACAGATCCTAACACGATACAACTATCCTTCATCCCACATCATACACTGACCACCCCTCCGCTTCTTCCCTCCAGTCCCAGGGTTAGCAAACAATGAATCGTGTGGAAGCCGTTGAGAAAGACACGAGTAACACATATCCAATCCACCGAAGTTGGTGTGAATTCGCTTATTGAATGACGATCGCTGTCATGCCCAAACACACGCTATCTTACTTCAGGATTCCTTATATGGTGTTGCCACTGGATACGAGGAATCCTACGAAGACAACGATGACTGAAGACATAGAGTTGTCGCACATCCTCGGCTCAAAGAGGTCAGGTTTCACAGACGTATAATAACTGCTCCCACCAAAGCTTTGTAAACCTGACCATTCACGATCAGACTAATATGGTGACGGCTCCAAAGGTGAGCGCAATCACAGGCTCCTGCCAATCTTGAAAGAGTATTTCGCACTTCAATGATGCAAAGGACACACCATACTTAGAGACATTAACTGGTTATCGAGATCACAGCAAAATGACCTTCAAACTCATTATCAACTAGTTAGAAATCACATGCTTTTCACACAGCTTAACATATACCCACACTATCCACCCAGTGAATTCATACGCTAACTCATAAATATGAAGAAAAATAACCCGATTGCATTACTTCAGGTTTGTCTGATGATTGCATTGAAGCTGATTTCAACCTGTATAATCCGATCTGCGTTAATTGGAGGTAACAGTCAATTTGTGGTGGAATAACCTTTTGCGAAAACTATGATACAAGATTTATTGTAGAATTTATATTCATCTTTATTCACTTCACACTTTTTACTGACACCATTTATTTTCAAATTGAATGAAAAAACGAACAAAAACCCGTTTTATACGCTAATTAGATAAGTATTAGAATAATATAGAGGTAGTATTCATCACGGACTGGCATCAGTTGGGGAACCATTGAAAATCTGGGAGCACTGAACAGCTGTTTCGTCCTAGTATGAGACTCCTCAGCAGTACGCACCCACGACCCGGCTGGGGATTGGACTCAGGACGTTCACGTTTCACGAGTTAACCGTTTAGCCACTGAGTGGGATTTCAGTGGTATACAGTTTCCAACTTCCGTCAATTCACGATGTAGTGCGATTATCACCAAAGGTCTTCAGATGCTATCCTCTTCCATTTCCACTGGTTAACCTCACAGGTCACAACTTCTCCTTAGAAATTCATGATATCCATCTAGAAGCAAGTCACTAATGAGCACTATACAGTAATGTATTTTTGAGATGAATGGTTAGTACGAATGAATAGTTTTCATCACTATTAGAATAATAGTTTGAGTGATTCACTGAGAACACCATTTGCAAAACATGATATCATCTTACTTCATAAGATTTCCTTCAGGTGCATGTAACCTTTATAAAAAGGTTAGTAATCTCTTTAACAAAGTTTATCATACCTTTAATGGAGCCTTTCAGATACCGGTTAATCAGGATTTTTTTAAAACATGAAAATATAATAATTCGGGACACGGAAGAAGTTCAAGTAATAAATTCAGTCAAGCAGTTATAGAGATAAGG